GGTGTGCACTGGGCCATAGGGAAGTGAGGAAGGAACATTTTCCCCGGCAACAGCTTTCCAGAATATTCTGATGTGGGTGGATACGCATCTGGGACCATGGCGACAGGTGTGTGTGGCAGGGCATGCATGAAACACACTGGGGCACGAGGCCTTTCTTGAGTTTGGTAGAAGCTGGTGCCAACTTGCAACATGAAAAAAGGGTGCAGTTTAGGAAAGGAATGGTTCATGTAAGAATACTGATAGAGGATGCATGTGTGGAACGGAAGGAATCATATTTACCAGACAAAAGCTTAATCAGCATTTAGTTACCAGAGGCAGGCTTGGTGAGGCCTTATGCAGGGTCACCACAGCAGTAGCAAAGATCAGCGGTTTTGGCTCTCCAACATGGGCTGTGCCTTTCTGTTCAATGCTTCCCAGGCACCATATGACAGTGACAACCATCTCTTGGTAAGGAACTGGGTTTTTTGTTTGTTTGTTTGTTTTCTTTTGTCTTTCACTTGACAGATGAAGCAGTCAAAACTTTGGAAAATCTCAGAGGCAGCATTTGAACCCAGATCTAAGTGCCCACACAACTAAGATTCTCTCATGCATCCCCACTTTGCCAACTTCCTAGATGTGAAAGTTTGTTTCTTCAGTAAAACATGCGCTGAAGCCGATGTGGCTTGTGTACTCCAGGCTCTAATATGCATGCTTGTCTTCCTACCAGCCGGAGGCTGAGTTTACCAAAAGGTGCAGCCCTACAGGGCCATGTAATAAAATGTTTCTATTCCAGTGCATGCACGTCCTCAGGAAGTCTGAGGAACCGTGATGGTAGAGTAGTTTGGGAAGATTGAGGGGACGAGAGGCTAACAAACTTGGATGTGAGAAGAACACATAAAGAATAAGAATACGACAAAAACCTAAAGGAACCTTATACCTTTCTTCCCCTGGAGAAACAATTTTCATTCTTTTTAAGGACACTGAAATAATTTTTAGTGATTATAAATTCTGACTGCAGCTTTTATAAGAAAGAAAGCATGAAACCCCAGTCAGCAGCTCTCTAAGCCCAGGGGAAGCCTTGTCACCACAGGGAACACACCTAAGACTTAGGAGAAAATAAAATGATACAGATTGGATCTTCAGTGATCCCTCTTTTATAATCCCCCAGCTCTGCTGCTCCTGTTCCCAGTCCTTTCAAAGGAGCTTCCTGCTCCTCCTTCTCTACCTTTTTCTCCTTTTCCTCCTCCTTCTTCTCCTTTTTATTCTCCTCCTCCTTCTTATTTTCCTCCTCCTCCTCCCTCTCCTTTTCCTCCTCCTCTTCCTCCTTTCCCCCCCCCCTTGCTTGCTCAGGATGAAGATAGTCTGAGAAAAACAAAGACAGGAACTTTGGGTCCCAGTGGACGCCATGTGTATGCATGCGACTTGAATGATAATCAAAGCTGTAGATGGTAGATCACAACACAGCAGGATGGTACAAAAGCTTTACATTTGAGGAAATGTTATATTCTTGATGTTTTCCCCTGCACAGTTTTGTTTCTGTAGATTCGCAATCGTGTGGACTACAAGTGTGGTTTTCAGGGATCTGTTAAGTTAATAGTTTCAACAACTTACCTAATGGCCCACAGGTGAAATATCTTAGTCATTTTCCTCAAATTAAGGTTGTATATTCAGAGCCATGCCATCTGATTGCTGAATGTATATTGCTGGGCAAACATTACATTTCTAAGGTAGTATTCTTTCACTTGACAGATGAAGCAGTCAAAACTTCGATCTAGAAGTTTTCTTGTGAAATCCCGGAGGCAGCATCTAAACCCAGATCTAAGTGACCACATAACTAAGACTCTTTCATGGATCCCCACTTTACCAATGATTGGGGAATATCTTTACTTTTAATGGGACTATTAAAAAAAAAAAAGATACTAATGAGCAAGGTAAACAGAATGTAGAAAGGGATGTTCATTATTTGTCAGTTTTTACCCCCGAGAACTCTCTTTGCCACATTGGAAATAGATTAGAGTGAGATGAAGAATGCCAAGAATCCACTTGTTTTAAAGATTTTAAATTTGGTCAGAGGTAAAGAGCTGGCTCTCAGGGAAATTGGTGGTGGTAGCAAGGTTCTGGGTAGTAGGTTTTTTTTTTTTTGTTGTTGTTGTTGTTTCATTTTGTTTTGTTCTGTGGGGCTGGGGGCATTGTATGACATTGTCCATCCTTCTCTCCAAATAGCAGATTTGACCTAAGTTGAGGTTTACAACGTGTTGCTAATCTTTTGTTACATATTACTTATTTTACTTTCAGGGTAACCATAAAAATAATTAAATTTTTCAATAAAGGAAAGGAGTCAGAAGCGTATATTACTTCATCTACTAAATGTAGCATTGTCAGTCCAGATGTTCATGGTATTCTGCAGCAGCTGCATCCTTTATTCAAAGCTCCTGGTGGTAGGAATTGCAAATGATTGGTGAGAAAGAGTGATTCCACAGAGTCTTGTAAGACCCATGCTCTTCAGGGTTTATGATTAATAATACTCAAGGCAGTAAAGGGGACTCAAGACAATGAAAGAACTACTTTGTCTTGAGAATGCTTAAAAGGTAGATTGGAAAGAGAAAATGCTAGTAAATGGAAAGATGGGAAGAGTAATAGTTTGAGCAGAGTTAGAAGTAATTTGAATTTGTTGAAGAGAGGAAGCTGGGAAAATAAAAAAATAAAAGAATCTAGAATTCTTAACATATATTTGCAGGGATATTTATGATAACAGGTATCGCAGACAAGGCCAGAACTATTCTGAGAAGTAAGAATTGCTTACAGTTTTGATTCTGATTAAAAGTGTCTGAAGGAATGCTACCTGAACCAGCAGCTACCGAAAGCCAGGAATCTACATTGTTCATCTGCGTTCCACTGAGGGTCAGATACTTGGAATGGTACTTAAGGCTGACGCAGACATCTCCTTCCTTGTGATATTATAATACGACCCTGTAATCTACAGAGTTTATGCTCAAGAAATATGAAATGAATTAACAAGAAAAAATAACTCAAAAGAAAATTCATAATAGTTTAAGATTATGATTTTTCATTGACCATTTATATAGCTGTCCTCAGCCTCAGTTAGCTGCACATGGCCTGGGCACGTGGACATAGCTAGAACATGCCTAAGGAGACATTTAAGACTAGTGTCTAAAGAATCCTGGATTTATAGATGCTACAATGCCATTTGTATTCAAAATGAATAATACTAATACCACCCACTTTTCCTTCCAGTCAAGATGTGTTTTATTTTACTTGAATGAAAAGGGTGGGGAGAGGACCCAGCTCTCCTGCTGCCAGTTTAACATGCGTGACCCTGGCCTTATGTCTGTAGACAAATGCCATGCGTTGAGGTCCCTGAGTGAGGAAGAAGAGTCCAGCAGGTGCAGTGTGTCCTTGTCGGTGCCCACAGGTTTCTTAGGAGACACTGTCTATTCTAGGCCCCATAACTAGGAAAGAAACCGAGGCACAGCATAAAGTTCAGAGAGAAAGAAATTTGCACTGTTACAAAATGCAGATTGTTATGTTCGGAAAGAGAAGTCTGAAGGCCATTGACTCATGGTCTTCCAGACTAGGAAGGCTCACTTGGAGGTGGAATGACCAGATTTCCTTCATGCCAAGCACAGGTAAAAGGGTAGTTCACATCTCCTACCCAGGCAGGGTGAGTGTGGCCTAGAAGACAGAGGAAGAACAGCAACCAGAAGCTGAGGCTGTGTAATTAGAGGAAGAGATCATGCCATTGTTTATGCAGGCTTGCTTGAAGGCAGTGTGAATTCTTATCTGCACCTTACTGTGAAGAGCTACAGCCTGAAGGAGCAGGGGTGAATTAAATGAACTTGGTCTTTTTAACCCACAGAATCCGTGATTTATCCTTAAATTACATAAGGTAAAGATGTCAGGCAATTATTTTGAATTATAGCCTTATAGCCTGGTGCTGCCAAGAGGAGTTACTTTCCAATAATGTTGAGGAAGTCAGTGACAAAGGCACACATTTATTTCAGAGGTCATGAACTCAAATACCTACAGGGTCCCGCTCGACTTGGAAGGAAGGGAGCAAGCTAACAGCATAACAACACCAGTTAGCAGAGTTCTGTGAACTGGAAAGTGAATGATGCGTGTGCAGATAGGGTCTCATAATGTGCTCAGATCTTTGACTTTCTGAGAAAAAGCTGGAAATCTAAAAATGTAGGTGATTATTTTTTCAGAAAAAAATAGTTTTATTGGCATCCTCTGCATATATAATGCAGCCCTTGTATAGTTAGAAGCCCCAGGTTTGTTTCCTTAGCCCACCAGCTCATTGCCTCTGTAATTAACAGACAGAACACAACTGATTGAACTCTGCAGTTGAGGAGAGTCGATTTACTAAGGTTTTGAAGGCTTCATTAACGTTCTGCCGACTCTATGAAGCCTTGACCTCTGATTCCTTCCTCCTTGCTCCTGATATTAGCCAGCTTATTTACACAGGAAGTAGGAATTTAAAGACATTACTTGTTTCCTAGGCTATTGAAATGGTTCATTAGGTAAAGGTGTCTGCTACCAGGCCTGATGACCCAACTTTAATCCTTGGAACCCACATGGTAGAGGGAGAAAAGGGACTCCCACAGATTGCTCACTGACCTCTGCATCTGTGCCATGGCATGGGTATGCCCACACATGTATACACACATATAAATAAACGTAACAAAGAAATGATTATTTCTTTTAGCAACATGATCTTATTTAGTATATTGTCAAATACTGAACGTGAGAAACAGTTTTCTGCTGATGCTGTTCGCTTTGGGAATGCACGTCTCTGTGCGGGCTTCACTCGGTAACGTGGATCTCTGCACTAACATTTGTTTATAACATTGGGTGCATGCGGCATGCTCGATTTAAACATTAACACTCTCACCATTAGGTAACGTGCTTTTCTCTTGTTAAAATAAAAAAAAAAGAAAGTTTTGATAACAGCCCCATGCAGGATAAGGACAGTTGTATTTCTGCAACCCCCTTCCTTTCAGACTGGAGAGTATGCCACTGATGAAGAAGAGGATGAGGTCGGCCCCATTCTTCCTGGCAGTGACATGGCCATTGAAGTCTTTGAGCTCCCTGAAAACGAGGACATGTTTTCCCCATCTGACCTGGACACCAGCAAGCTCAGTCACAAGTTCAAAGAGGTGAGCCCGGGCCGGCGCGGTGTTTTCCTATACCTGCTCCTTCCATTGTTAACCCTGTTTTTGTTTGTAGAATGCCCTGAGAATCATCTGCTTTCTGCTTAAAGCTTTACAATAAAATTATCCAAGTCTTAAGTTTGAGAGTACAACTTCAGCAGATTGTATTCTACTATCACCAGTATTATGTCTGTCACTTGTCATGGTGGCAGTTTATAACGGCGGACATCATTTCAGGATACATCCAAGTTACATATATATTGTTTGCTTTTATAGACGCTCTGGTACCTAGTCACAGCCTCTTTCCTCTAGGGCAGTTATTTTTCTAAAAAGCTGTTTTTCTTTATTTTCCTGAAGTAGACAGATTTCTAATAAGAACAACATGCTCAAATGGTTCCATTAAAGAGTTCAATGAGCACACTTTGGCCAGTTACTAGAACAACCAAGGAATGATGACTTGCATGGGAAGAGTGATAACAGAAAGCCATCCTCCTCCTCTCACTTAAAGAAGCCATTCAGTGCTCACAGCTTTGCACAGTGCAACCCTGGTGGAAATTGCATCTAGGGTAAGGTGGTGGGTCCCCTTTCCCTCCCATACTGTCTTCTTCCTGCCGAATCCCCAGCTGCACCCAGGAGGCCAGGCCAGGCTAGTTTTGGAACTAAAGCCATCAGTCACCTGAAGCATGGAACAGTCCAAGAAAAGGCCTGGATAGACCCTCGGCGTGCACACAGAGAACCTGGCGCACTTCTTCCTCCACGTCTGCTTTTAGGACATTTTCTTAATTACTTTAAGTAAAAATGCCTGTCTTACCACTTTGGCCAATCCACAAGCTGCTGTGACCTTATCCAGTCTTACTCTGGGCCTGATATATTTTTTTCCTGCTACATTCTATGATCATGATTCTTCAACAAACTGTGTCTTTGCACAATTCTTGTCACTTTCTTAACGGTTAAGCGCTCACTGAATAATTAGCGTCAGGGTGTCCTGAGAATCCATTGTATAGTGCACCTACCTTGATTTCCTCACACACGTGAGAGCCTGGCCAGCACTTTTATTAAGGGTTGCTTTCCTTCTGATCAGAGGGCACTGTCACTTTCCACAGACATTAGTACTGATGACTGGTGGAGTAAAGAAGAACCATCTTACCTTTCTTCTTAAATCATTTTTTTAAATTTTTATTAATTACACTTTATTCACTTTGTATCCCCCACAAGCCCCTCCCTCCTCCCCTTCCGATCCCACCCTTCCACCCCCTTTTTCACGCATGCCCCTCCCCAAGTCCACTGATAGGGGAGGTCCTCCTCTCCTTCCTTCTGATCTTAGTCTATCAGATCTCATCAGGAGTGGCTGCATTGTCATCTTCTGTGGCCTGGTAAGGTTGGTCCCCCTCTCAGGGGGAGGTGATCAAAGAGCAGACCAGTCAGATTATGTCAGAGTCAGTTCCTGTCCCCATTACTGTGGAGGCCACTTGGACACTAAACTGCCATGGGCTACATCTGTGCAGGAGTTATCTCCATGCCTGGTACTTGGTTGGAGTATGAGTCTCTGGGAAGACCCCTGTGTTCAAATTTTCTGGTTCTGTTGCTATCCTTGTGGGGTTCCTGTCCTCTCCAGATCTTACTATTTCCCACTTCTTACATAAGATTCCATGCACTCTGCCCAACATTTGGCCATAAGTCTCAGCATCTGCTTTGATAGTCTGCAGGGCAGAGCCTTTCAGAGGCCCTTCGTGGCGAGTTTCTAGCTTGTTTCCTGTTTTCTTCTTCTTCTGATGTCCATCCTCTTTGCCTTTCAGGATGGGGATTGAACATTTTAGCCAGAGTCCTCCCTCTTGATTAGTTTCTTTAGGTGTACAGATTTTAGTAGGTTTATCCTATATTACATGTCTATATGAGTGAGTAAATACCGTGTGTGTCTTTCTGCTTCTGGGACAGCTCACTGAGGATGATCCTTTCCAGGTCCCACCATTTACCTGCAAATTTCATGATTTCCTTATTTTTCATTGCTGAGTAATATTCCACTGTATAGATGTACTACAATTTCTGCATCCATTCTTCAGTTGAGGAGCATCTGGGCTGTTTCTAGCTTCTGGCTATTACAAATAAAGTTGCTATGAACATGGTTGAGCAAATGTCCATTTTTAAAAACAAGTTTATGCCTAGTATCAATGTCTTCTGAGCAGCTGAGAAAAACAGATTACAGAGGCTCACAGCCAAACAATAGGTAAAGCTGGGGAAGTCTTATGGAACAGTAGAATGAAGAATTGAGGGAGTCAGATAGAACAAGGACACCAAAAGGAGATCTACAGAGCCATCTAACCCGGTCTCTTTTTACCTCCCAGAGACTGAACCACCATCCAAAGAACATGCATGGGCTGGTCATAGGCCTCCTCCCTATATGTAGTTTGGTCTTCCTGTTTGGTCCCCTAAAAATGGAGTAGAGGCTGTCTCTGTCTCTGTTTCCTGCCTTTGAATCCCTATCCCCTACCTGGGTTGCCTTGTCTGGCCTCAGTGGGAGACTTGTAGTGCCAGAACAGATTGGTACCCAAGGGTTGTCTCCCCTTCTCTAAGAAGAAGGGGAGAAGAGAGGGAGGGAGGGGAGCATGAGATGGAAATGGGAGGAGAGGGAGGAGAGAGCTGTGATTGAGTTGTAAAGTTAATAAATAAATGAATAAAAAATAAAATTACATTTTAAATTTTTAAAAAAGACAAGTTTATGCATGTACACTGTGTACCTCAATCGTAGCCACCCGTTCCTCTCGTTACCTTCCAACACCACCGTGCCACGTCCACATCTTACCTTCATGGCCTCTCCTGTGGGGCCTGAGGGAACCGGGAGAGTCCAGTTCGTGCTGGCCGCTGGACTGCCCACTGGCTTTGTCTTGATCTTGAACAGGTAGCTGACCATACCTGCAGGGGGTTCGTGAGTGCAATGGGCATGTCATGTCCAGATGACAGCATTTTATAACAGTCTTCTGGCTCTTCCATTCTTTCCACCCCTTCTTCCTCAGTGTTCCCGAGCATTGTGCGTGAGGGCGTCATAGATGCCCATTTTAGGACTGAGCATTCACCAATTCTCTTTCTCTTTTTCTTGTACCGGAGAGTCAAAACCTAGGGCCATTGAGTTCTCTACCACTGAGCTATAGCTCTAGCCCAACTTTTCCCTTTTTAAAGTTACTGTACTATCAGCTTATTGAGTCACTTTGTTAGTTACCTCTTAAATTATTTTATTATAATCAAATTAGTAAGTTGATTTGCAGGAAACCAACATCTTTCTCATACTACTAATCTTTTAATCCAAGTTTGCTAGTGTATCTACTTAAAGTGTTTTCTCTGACCTCTCAAAAGCTGTATATACCCTTTATTTGTTGCATAAATGCCCAGCTATAAGCAATGAAAAGCACAACTAAAATAACTAAAAGCTGTTAGCCTCAGAGTGAGTTAGAGACCCCTCCCCATTTTTCCAAACATGGCATGAATGATGTGGCTTAATGATTTATGAAGATAGACATTTCCGTTTCTGAAATTTTTGGAGAAAGTTTTTTATTCATTTGAAACTTCTTATTAATAAATTTTATTCTTTGACAATTTCATATGTGTATGTAATGTGTTCTGGTTACTTCCCCCAGCCTTCACTCTGATTTCCCATACTCTCCTAGTCTCCCTTATTCCTTACAAATATCTTTCCTATATTCACTAATTTTGTTTTGTTTTGTGTCCCATGGGGTTCAACTAGGGCTCTGTGTGACTGATTTAGAACCGTGGATCCTGGTGTGCTCAGCAGTGTATATACAGAGGGCTCTTCTGGCTCCCCATCCCACCTCCCACCCTCCACCCCCACTCCCGGCCTCCCAGAATCTGTTAGTTGGCAGCAGATCAGCATTAAGTAGCAGGGCTGCTGAACCCTTCTCACTTCGTAGCGGGCTGTGCTGACCTATCGGTTTTCAGACAGCATCTGTGTTAAAGTCACTGACTGACCTCTTATTCATCCCTATAATTCTGTCACTTCTGGTTTTTTTATGCTTTATGTTTGTTGTTAGCTGCACTTAGAGTCAGGATTGCTACATCATCTTGATTTCTTGTAATAATATTCTGCTCTCACATGATACACTTTGCCCCAGTTCTATTTTGGTTAATAGTAAGACTCATCGCTGGGTTTCTTTTGCCTTGCATTTTCTTCAAAGCATCTGAATTTCTGCTTATTTTTATCTCTTCCACATACTTTTATTCAAATGTGTTTTCTTTCAGTAGCCTATTTCTGAATCTTACTCTTAAATAAATTATTCCAGTCTTTGTCAGTTAATTAGTGAATATAGTGCATTTATGTTTATATTAATCACTTTATTACTAGAATTTGTATCTGCTCTTTTGGCTTTTAGGTTTCTTTTTTTCCGTATTTTCCTGTTGATGTTTTTTTTTTTTTTTTTTAATTTTTCTACCTGTCATCAGAAGTATCATCTTTTCATCTGTTGCCTAAAAGCTAATATTTTATTTTGTTTTTCTTAATAGTTTGACTCAGTTTTGAGTTATCAGTACAGTATGGAAACCAGATCCATATCTATGCCATTAATCATAAGCAAAATAATGATTATAACACGTTACCTGTGAGCCTTTCTGCTGCAGCTCATCTTTGGTGTTTTGGGAATCTTGGCTACTAGATATGTTGACAAGTATGGCTGCTACAATGTGATTAATTTCAGCTCCCTGACCCTGTCCATTTGCTGGGATGAGATTGTTGCTACAGTGTTAATTTACTAGTGTCTACTGCTCGCTTCCTACTATCAGCCAAAGGCTCCTATCACAGGCACCTAAACTTAAGTAGCACCTAAACTTAAGTAGTAATCAGGAGGTCGTAGCTTCAGGGTATGGAGCTGGCTGGCCTGCCTTTCCACCAGGTGTACTAGCAGGGCTCTGTGGAAAAGGTGAGGCTCCATTAAATCACTGTCTCCTTCCTGGTGTCCGACATTCCTCTGCTGCAGGACTTCACCTCTGCCACATCAGAGCCG